TGGGTAAGTGGGTGGGTGGGTAAGTGGGTGGGTAAGTGGGTGGGTAAGTGGGTGGGTGGGTAAGTGGGTGGGTGGGTGGGTAAGTGGGTGGGTGGTTGGGTAAGTGGGTGGTTGGGTGGGTAAGTGGGTGGGTAAGTGGGTGGTTGGGTGGGTAAGTGGGTGGTTGGGTGGGTAAGTGGGTGGTTGGGTGGGTAATTGGGTGGGTGGGTAAGTGGGTGGTTAAGTGGGTGGGTGGTTAAGTGTGTGGGTGGTTGGGTGCTCAAGTGGTTGGGTGGTTACTGGATTTGAACGTTGAACTTTGAGAGGGATATCCACATCTCAGGAGGAGCTGAGGACTTGTTCATGGTCGGGGCCCCAGCAGGAGGGTATTTATTCATGGTCGGGGCCCCCGGGCAAGGGGAGGGAGCCACAGCTGACGTAGGCCCCGCTGGGATCCGTGGACCCGCGTTGGTAAATCTCGACGGAGGAGAGGCGCAGTTCCCCAAAGTCAAAGCTCCCAAACTCCTGCTCACAGCAGCACAGGACGCATACACAGAGTGGTGAGTGAGTGCTCGTGGTGAGTGCTCGTGGTGAGTGCGTGCTAGTGGTGAGTGAGTGCTAGTGGTGGGTGAGTCAGTGCTAGTGGTGAGTGATTCAGTGCTAGTGGTGAGTCAGTGCTAGTGGTGAGTGAGTGCTAGTGATGGGTGAGTGCTAGTGATGAGTGAGTGCTAGTGGTGAGTGAGTGAGTGCTAGTGGTGAGTGAGTGCTAGTGGTGAGTGAGTGAGTGCTTGTGGTGAGTGAGTGCTAGTGGTGAGTGAGTGAGTGCTAGTGGTGAGTGCTAGTGGTGAGCGAGTGCTAGTGGTGAGCGAATGAGTGCTAGTGGTGAGCGAATGAGTGCTAGTGGTGAGCGAATGAGTGTTAGTGGTGAGTGAGTGCTAGTGGAGAGTGAGTGCTAGTGGTGAGTGAGTCCGTGCAGGGAGTGAGTGAGTGCTAGTGGTGAGTGAGTGCTAGTGGTGGGTGAGTGAGTGCTAGTGGTGGGTGAGTGCTAGTGGTGGGTGAGTGCTAGTGGTGAGTGAGTGCTAGTGGTGGGTGAGTGCTAGTGGTGGGTGAGTGCTAGTGGTGGGTGAGTGAGTGCTAGTGGTGGGTGAGTGAGTGCTAGTGGTGAGTGAGTGAGTGCTAGTGGTGAGTGAGTGAGTGCTAGTGGTGGGTGAGTGAGGGCTAGTGGTGGGTGAGTGAGTGCTAGTGGTGGGTGAGTGAGTGCTAGTGGTGAGTGAGTGAGTGCTAGTGGTGAGTGAGTGAGTGCTAGTGGTGGGTGAGTGAGGGCTAGTGGTGGGTGAGTGAGTGCTAGTGGTGGGTGAGTGCTAGTGGTGAGTGAGTGAGGGCTAGTGGTGGGTGAGTGAGTGCTAGTGGTGGGTGAGTGCTAGTGGTGAGTGAGTGCTAGTGGTGAGTGCTAGTGGTGAGTGCTAGTGGTGAGTGTTAGTGGTGAGTGAGTGCTAGTGGTGAGTGTTAGTGGTGTTAGTGGTGAGTGTTAGTGGTGAGTGAGTGCTAGTGGTGAGTGAGTGAGTGCTAGTGGTGATTGAGTGAGTGCGTGAGTGCTAGCGGTGGGTGAGTGAGTGGGTGCTAGTGGTGAGTGAGTGCTAGTGGTGAGTGAGTGCTAGTGGTGGGTGAGTGCTAGTGGTGAGTGCTAGTGGTGAGTGCTAGTGGTGAGTGTTAGGAGTGAGTGCTAGTGGTGAGTGAGTGCTAGTGGTGAGTGAGTCAGTGCTAGTGGTGAGTGATTCAGTGCTAGTGGTGAGTGAGTGCTAGTGGTGAGTGAGTGAGTGAGTGCTAGTGGTGAGTGAGTGAGTGAGTGCTAGTGGTGAGTGAGTGAGTGCTAGTGGTGAGTGAGTGAGTGCTAGTGGTGAGTGAGTGAGTGCTAGTGGTGAGTGAGTGAGTGCTAGTGGTGAGTGAGTGAGTGAGTGCTAGTGGTGAGTGAGTTAGTGGTGGGTGAGTGAGCGAGTGCTAGTGGTGGGTGAGTGAGTGCTAGTGGTGAGTGCTAGTGGTGGGTGAGTGAGTGCTAGTGGTGAGTGAGTGCTAGTGGTGAGCGAGTGCTAGTGGTGAGCGAATGAGTGCTATTGGTGAGTGCTAGTGGTGAGTGAGTGCTAGTGGTGAGCGAGTGCTAGTGGTGGGTGAGTGAGTGCTAGTGGTGAGCGAGTGCTAGTGGTGAGCGAATGAGTGCTAGTGGTGAGCGAATGAGTGCTAGTGGTGAGCGAGTGAGTGCTAGTGGTGAGTGAGTGCTAGTGGTGGGTGAGTGAGTGCTAGTGGTGAGTGAGTGCTAGTGGTGAGTGAGTGCTAGTGGTGAGTGAGTGAGTGCTAGTGGTGAGTGAGTGAGTGCTAGTGGTGAGTGAGTGAGTGCTAGTGGTGAGTGAGTGCTAGTGGTGAGTGAGTGAGTGCTAGTGGTGAGTGAGTAAGTGCTAGTGGTGAGTGAGTGAGTGCTAGTGGTGAGTGAGTGAGTGAGTGCTAGTGGTGAGTGGGTGAGTGAGTGCTAGTGGTGAATGGTAGTGGTGAGTGAGTGAGTGCTAGTGGTGAATGAGTGAGTGCTAGTGGTGAGTGAGTGCTAGTGGTGAGTGAGTGCTAGTGGTGAGTGAGTGCTAGTGGTGAGTGAGTGCTAGTGGTGAGTGAGTGCTAGTGGTGAGTGAGTGCTAGTGGTGAGTGAGTGCTAGTGGTGAGTGAGTGCTAGTGGTGAGTGAGTGCTAGTGGTGAGTGAGTGCTAGTGGTGAGTGCTAGTGGTGAGTGAGTGCTAGTGGTGAGTGCTAGTGGTGGGTGAGTGAGTGCTAGTGGTGGGTGAGTGCTAATGGTGAGTGAGTGCTAGTGGTGGGTGAGTGAGTGCTAGTGGTGAGTGAGTAAGTGCTAGTGGTGAGTGAGTGCTAGTGGTGAGTGAGTGAGTGCTAGTGGTGAGTGCTAGTGGTGGGTGAGTGAGTGCTAGTGGTGAGTGAGTGCTAGTGGTGAGTGAGTGCTAGTGGTGAGTGAGTGCTAGTGGTGGGTGAGTGCTAGTGGTGAGTGAGTGAGTGCTAGTGGTGAGTGAGTGAGTGAGTGCTAGTGGTGAGTGAGTGAGTGAGTGCTAGTGGTGAGTGAGTGAGTGCTAGTGGTGAGTGAGTGAGTGAGTGCTAGTGGTGAATGGTAGTGGTGAGTGAGTGAGTGCTAGTGGTGAGTGAGTGCTAGTGGTGAGTGAGTGCTAGTGGTGAGTGAGTGCTAGTGGTGAGTGAGTGCTAGTGGTGAGTGAGTGCTAGTGGTGAGTGAGTGCTAGTGGTGAGTGAGTGAATGCTAGTGGTGGGTGAGTGAGTGCTAGTGGTGAGTGCGTGAGTGCTAGTGGTGAGTGCTAGTGGTGAGTGAGTGAGTGCTAGTGGTGAGTGCTAGTGGTGAGTGCTAGTGGTGGGTGAGTGAGTGCTAGTGGTGGGTGAGTGCTAATGGTGAGTGAGTGCTAGTGGTGGGTGAGTGAGTGCTAGTGGTGAGTGAGTAAGTGCTAGTGGTGAGTGAGTGAGTGCTAGTGGTGAGTGAGTGAGTGCTAGTGGTGAGTGCTAGTGGTGGGTGAGTGAGTGCTAGTGGTGAGTGAGTGCTAGTGGTGAGTGAGTGCTAGTGGTGAGTGAGTGCTAGTGGTGAGTGAGTGCTAGTGGTGGGTGAGTGCTAGTGGTGAGTGAGTGAGTGCTAGTGGTGAGTGAGTGAGTGCTAGTGGTGAGTGAGTGCTAGTGGTGAGTGAGTGCGAGTGGTGAGTGAGTGCTAGTGGTGAGTGAGTGCTAGTGGTGAGTGAGTGCGAGTGGTAGTGGTGAGTGAGTGAGTGCTAGTGGTGAATGGTAGTGGTGAGTGAGTGAGTGCTAGTGGTGAATGAGTGAGTACTAGTGGTGAGTGAGTGCTAGTGGTGAGTGAGTGAGTGCTAGTGATGAGTGCTAGTGATGAGTGCTAGTGGTGAGTGAGTGAGTGCTAGCGGTGGGTGAGTGAGTGGGTGCTAGTGGTGAGTGAGTGCTAGTGGTGAGTGAGTGCTAGTGGTGGGTGAGTGCTAGTGGTGAGTGAGTGCTAGTGGTGAGTGTTAGTGGTGAGTGAGTGCTAGTGGTGAGTGCTAGTGGTGAGTGTTAGTGGTGAGTGAGTGCTAGTGGTGAGTGAGTGCTAGTGGTGAATGTTAGTGAGTGAGTGTATAGTGGTGAGTGCTAGTGGTGAGTGAGTGCTGGTGGTGAGTGAGTGAGTGCTAGTGGTGAGTGTGGTGGTGAGTGCTAGTGGTGCTAGTGGTGAGTGTTAATGGTGAGTGTTAGTGGTGAGTGCTAGTTGTGAGTGGTGAGTGTATAGTGGTGAATGCTAGTAGTGAGTGTTAGTGATGAGTGCTAGTGGTGAGTGAGTGCTCGTGATGAGTGCTAGTGGTGAGTGTTAATGGTGAGTGTTAGTGGTGAGTGCTAGTTGTGAGTGGTGAGTGTATAGTGGTGAATGCTAGTGGTGAGTGTTAGTGATGAGTGCTAGTGGTGAGTGTTAGTGGTGAGTGTGGTGGTGAGTGCTAGTGGTGCTAGTGGTGAGTGCTAGTGGTGAGTGTTGGTGGTGAGTACTGGTGGTGAGTGTTGGTGGTGAGTACTGGTGGTGAGTGTTAGTGGTGAGTGTGGTGGTGAGTGCTAGTGGTGCTAGTGGTGAGTGTTAGTGGTGAGTGTAAGTGGTGAGTGCTAGTGGTGAGTGTGGTGGTGAGTATGGTGGTGACACCTTGAGTATTTCCCGGGCATCGAACGCCTCCCGTGCACGTTGCGGCCTAGGCTCTCCTCCAGGCCTCCCCTCGCCTGCGGCGACACAACAGACAAAGGTTCCCCACGTGTGGCCCAGCAGACGGTAAGGGGGCAGCAGCGCCGGTGAAGCCCGGCACCGGGGTGGTGTGGCCGAGACCGGTGTGGTGTGGCCGAAACCGGGGGTGGTGTGGCCGGAACCGGTGTGGCGTGGCCGGAACCAGGGGGTGGTGTGGCCGGTAAAAAACGGGGTGGTGTGGGCGCCTCAATCTCGGGTGATGCTGACGCAGCACGCTGCACCGGGCAACTCGTTTTAGGCCGAGTCGACCTAGGGGAAGTGGCTCGGGACCGGTTCAGGGAGTCGTCGCCACCGGTGTTTGTGGCGCACCCAAACCCGCGGACAACGACAGCAACAACAACACCACAACAACACCACAACAACAACACCACAACACCACAACACAACAACAAAACACCACAACAACAAAACACCACAACACAACAACACAACAACAACACAACAACACAATGACAACAACACCACAACACAACACCACAACAACAACACCACAACACAACGACAACACCACAACAACACAATGACAACAACACAATGACAACAACACCACAACACAACAACAACACAATGACAACAACACCACAACACAACACAATGACAACAACACAACAACGACAACAACAACACAATGACAACAACACAACAACGACAACAACAACACAATGACAACACCACAACAACACCAACAACACGTCACCGCGGCACCTGTGCCAGGCTAGGTGCACTCGAGGCTATGGAGTGAAGTGTCGAGGCTTCGCTGCTGGCAGGGCCCACGAGAGCCAGGTGCCCAGGCCATGGGTTGACCGACTCAGACGAATGGCAGCAGCAGCAGCTGCATCACAGTTGTGCCAGGCTAGGTGCAGGAGGAGGTCACGTGACTCAACCTGGCCCCGAGCGCAGCGTGTTGATGATGCTGGCGTGCGGTGAGTGGTGAGTGAATGGTGAGTGAGAGTGGTGAGTGAGAGTGGTGAGTGAGAGTGGTGAGTGAGAGTGGTGAGTGAGAGTGAGAGTGGTGAGTGAGTGGTGAGTGAGAGTGGTGACCGAGTGGTGAGTGACTGGTGAGTGAGCGGTGAGCAAGTGGTGAGCGGCTCACCCTTGTGGTACAGCGTGTTGATGACAGTGGTGAGTGTGAGTGGTAAGTGAGTGGTGAGAGTGGTGAGTGACTGGTGAGTGAGTGGTGAGCAAGTGGTGAGCGGCTCAGCCTTGTGGTACAGCGTGTTGATGACGGTGGTGAGTGAGTGGTGAGTGAGTGGTGAGTGAGTGGTAAGTGAGAGTGATGAGTGAGTGGCAAGTGAGAGTGGCAAGTGAGAGTGGCGAGTGAGAGTGGCGAGTGGTGAGTGAGAGTGGCGTGTGAGAGTGGTGAGTGAGACTGGTGAGTGTGGCTCACCCTTGCGGTAGAGCGTGTTGATGACGGTGGTGAGTGAGTGGTGAGTGAGAATGGTGAGTGAGAATGGTGAGTGAGTGGTGAGTGAGTGGTGAGCGAGTGGTGAGCGAGTGGTGAGCGAGTGGTGAGTGTGTCTCACCCTTGCGGTAGAGCGTGTTGTTGACGGTGGTGAGTGAGAGTGGTGAGTGGTGAGTGAGTGGTGAGCGAGTGGTGAGTGTCTCACCCTTGCGGTAGAGCGTGTTGATGACGGTGGCGAGTGAGTGGTGAGTGAGTGGTGAGCGAGTGGTGAGTGTCTCACCCTTGCGGTAAAGCGTGTTCATGACGGTGGTGAGTGAGTGGTGAGCGAGTGGTGAGCGAGTGGTGAGCGAGTGGTGAGCGAGTGGTGAGCGAGTGGTGAGCGAGTGAGTGGCGAGTGAAAGTGGTGTGAGAGTGGTGAGTGAGTGGTGAGCGAGTGGTGAGCGAGTGGTGAGTGAGACTGGTGAGTGTGTCTCACCCTTGCGGTAGAGCGTGTTGATGACGGTGGTGAGCGAGTGGTGAGCGAGTGGTGAGCGAGTGGTGAGTGGTGAGTGTGAGTGGTGAGCGAGTGGTGAGTGTGTGGTGAGTGTGTCTCACCCTTGAGCGTGTTGATGATGGTGGTGAGTGAGTGAGTGGTGAGTGAGTGGTGAGTGAGAGTGGTGAGTGTGTCTCACCCTTGCGGTAGAGCGTGTTGATGACAGTGGTGAGTGAGTGGTGAGTGAGTGGTGAGTGAGAGTGGTGTGTCTCACCCTTGCGGTAGAGCGTGTTGATGAGAGTGGTGAGTGAGTGGTGAGTGTGAGTGGTGAGTGTGAGTGGTGAGTGAGTGGTGAGTGAGTGGTGAGTGAGTGGTGAGTGAGTGGTGAGTGAGTGGTGAGAGTGGTGAGTGAGTGTGGTGAGTGAGTGGTGAGCGAGTGGTGAGTGTCTCACCCTTGCGGTAGCGCGTGTTGATGACGGTGGCGAGTGAGTGGTGAGTGAGTGGTGAGTGAGTGGTGAGCGAGTGGTGAGCGAGTGGTGAGCGAGTGGTGAGCGAGTGGTGAGCGAGTGGTGAGCGAGTGGTGAGCGAGTGGTGAGCGAGTGGTGAGCGAGTGGTGAGCGTCTCACCCTTGCGGTAGAGCGTGTTGATGACGGTGGTGAGTGAGTGGTGAGTGAGTGGTGAGAGTGGTGAGAGTGGTGAGAGTGGGGAGTGAGTGGTGAGCGAGTGGTGAGCGAGTGGTGAGTGTCTCACCCTTGCGGTAGAGCGTGTTGATGACGGTGGCAAGTGAGTGGTGAGTGAGTGGTGAGCGAGTGGTGAGCGAGTGGTGAGCGAGTGGTGAGTGTCTCACCCTTGCGGTAGAGCGTGTTGATGACGGTGGTGAGTGAGTGAGAGTGGTGAGTGAGTGGTGAGTGAGTGGTGAGTGAGAGTGGTGAGTGAGTGGTGAGTGAGAGTGGTGAGCGAGTGGTGAGTGTGTCTCACCCTTGCGGTAGAGCGTGTTGATGACGGTGGTGAGTGGTGTGTGAGTGGTGTGTGAGTGGTGTGCGAGTGGCGAGCGAGTGGCGAGCGAGTGGCGAGGGAGTGGCGAGCGAGTGGTGAGGGTCTCACCCTTGCGGTAGAGCGTGTTGATGACGGTGGCGAGTGAGAGTGGTGAGTGAGTGAGTGGTGAGTGGTGAGAGTGGTGAGCGAGTGGTGAGCGAGTGGTGAGCGAGTCTCACCCTTGCGGTAGAGCGTGTTGATGATGGTGGTGAGTGAGTGGTGAGTGAGTGAGAGTGGTGAGTGAGTGGTGAGTGAGTCTCACCCTTGCGGTAGAGCGTGTTGATGACGGTGGCGAGTGAGTGGTGAGCGAGTGGTGAGTGAGTGGTGAGCGAGTGGTGAGTGTCTCACCCTTGCGGTAGAGCGTGTTGATGACGGTGGCGTGCAGCTTCACCCTCTGACGCTCCCTCACCATGAGCCCCGACGCCACAAAGTGCTCCACCAGGCGGTCAGCCAACCTCTGCAGCCTGCCGCCACAAAGACAAAGCTCCCCCGTGTAGCCCACGCAGGCCGCTGGGGCAAGCGCTCTTAGCCGGCGCGACTGGCGTGTCCCGTGCGTGTGTCCGTGTGCATGTATGTGCGTGCGTGTGTGTGTGTGTGCACGTGTGTGTGTGCACGTGTGTGTACGTGTGTGTGTGAGTGTGTGTACGTGCGTGTGTGTGCACGTGTGTGTGTGCACGTGCGTGTGTACGTGCGTGTGTGTACGTGACTGTGTGTACATGCGTGTGTGTATGTGTGCAGGTGTGCGTGTGTGCACGTGTGTGTGTGTGTGCACGTGTGTGTGTGTACGTGTGTGTGTGTACGTGTGTGTGTGCACGTGTGTGTGTGTGTACGTGTGTGTGTACGTGAGTGTGTGTGAGTGTGTGTACGTGTGTGTGAGTGTGTGTACGTGTGTGTGTGTACGTGTGTGTGTGAGTGTGAACGTGCGTCTGCGTGCGTCTGCGAGGTGCTGACCGGTCGCCGTGTGAGTGGATCTGTGCGTAGAGGACGTCCACCACGGCTGGGTCGTCGTTCATGAACTCCAAACCGCGCAGAGCGACGTGCAACGCCACGTCGCCCAGCACCTCCCTACACACGCAGCAGGGGCGGCTGGAGATTAGTCCACACACTTTGCCGCACAGACACGTGTGTGCGTGCGTGTGTGCGTGCGTGTGTGCACGTGTGTGTGTGTACGTGTGTGTGTGTACGTGTGTGTGTGTACGCAGTGTGTCTGTACATGTGTGTGTCTGTACGTGTGTGTGTGTACGTGTGTGTACACTGTGTGTGTACGTGTGTGTACACTGTGTGTGTACGCGTGTGTGTGTACGCGTGTGTGTGTGTGTACATGTGTGTGTACGTGTGTACATGTGTGTGTGTGTACGTGTGTACGTGTGTGTACATTTTCAGGAAAGGGCGGTCCTGCACAGATGCCATATTTTCTGTCCGTCTGCTACAGCAGAGGTGTAGGGAATTCCAACAAGACCTACATCTCTGCTTTATTGACCTGGTCAAGGCCTATGATACCATCAGTAGGCCTGGGCTCTGGGTCATCCTTCGTGCTTTTGGAGTACCTGACCCTCTGCTCACGATCATTAAGGACCTTCATGATGGTGAGCGGGCCCGGGTAAAACTACGTGGCTGGGAGTCAGAGCCATTCCCTGTACACCTTGGGGTGCGACAGGGATGTCCTCTGGCTCCCACATTATTTAACATCTATTTTGACCACGTAGTTCGTGAAGCCTTCAATAGCTGTACCGGGGGAATCTCCATATGGTACAGATATAATGGGAGGCTGATCGATGCCCGGGTGCGGTCAAGGGATGGCTCCCTTTTGCTCAACCACGTTATGTATGCTGATGATTTAGTAATAGCTGCTCATTCAGAGGAGGAGTTGGAGACGCTGCTGCTGAGACTGGAGCATGCCACTAAGAGGTGGGGCCTTACCATCAGCCCCACCAAAACTAAGCACCTGCCTGGGTATTTTGTACCATCGGACACTCCACCCCCACAACTCCCAATCGGTGATGGGGCAGTTGTGGAGAGAGTGGAGAGTTTCCCATACCTGGGCAGTGTGCTTATGACTGGCTCCAGTTTAACAGCAGAGGTCTCACTCTGAATCAGTCGAGTGGCAATATCTTTTCATCGGTTGCGTAACGCTGTGTGGAAGCTACCTGGTCTGTCGCTCCGCACTAAGCTTCAGGTCTTCTCGGCCACGGTTATTCCCTCCCTTCTCTACGCTTGCGAAACGTGGACCCCCCTAATGGAACATCTTCACCGGTTAGAAACATTTAGGCTGGCCTGCCTATGATCCATCCTGGGTTTAACCAGACTAGATTGTGTGAGCTCACAAATCCTTGAAAGATCTGGGCAAGGTCCCATCAGTGAGCTCCTCCGGCGGGGAAGGCTGCGATGGCTGGGTCATGTAGCCCGCATGCCCAGCCACCGCATGCCGAAACAACTTTTGTTCGGCCGAAATGAGGAGGCTAAGCGGGCGCGGCACGGGCTAGAGAAGAGATGGAGTGATGTGGTACAGGAGGACGTGGAGCTGAGTGGACTTGCCGATGACTGGTACCAGCGGTGTCAAGATCGGCCTCTGTGGAGGAGGCTCGTGAAGGACGCTACTGGGCAGTTGGAGGTAGTCGCCCTCCAACAACAACGGAGGGCGGAGGAGCGATGCTCAGAACAACGAGCGGAGCGCCGGGTGGCTAAAGCACAGCAGGTTGGCACAGAAGGGGGCACAGGTGGTGCATCAGCCAGTCATCTCAGTCAGTCGACCCGTGGCATCTGGGTCTGCCCCGTGACCTCCTGCCAGCGGGCGTTCGACACTTCACGTGGCCTCAGGGTGCACGTAGCCTGGCACAAGCGTCGTGGTGACGTCACCGCCACTTAGTGGCGAATGGCGGTTGTTGTTGTTGTGTATACATGTGTGTGTGTGTACATGTGTGTGTGTACATGTGTGTGTGTACATGTGTGTGTGTACATGTGTGTGCGTGTACGTGTGTGTGTGTACGTGTGTGTGTGCGTGTGAGTACACGTGTGTGTACGTGTGTGTGTACGTGTGTGTGTACGTGTGTGTACATGTGTGTGCGTGTGTGTGTGGTACGTGTGTGTGTACGTGTGTGTGTGTACACAGTGTGTGCGTGTGTGTTTACGCGTGTGTACGTGTGTGTTTACGCGTGTGTACGTGTGTGTGTACGTGCGTGTACGTGTGTGCGTGTGTGTACGTGTGTGCGTACGTGTGCGTGTACGTGTGTGTACGTGTGTGTACACTGTGTATGTGTGCACGTGTGTGTGTACATGTGTGTGCGTGTGTGTACATGTGTGCGTGTGTACGTGTGTGTGCGTGTGTGTAAGCCCCAGGCTACTTTGGGCTCGCCTTCCCATCAACCGGAGGCGAGGAATGGTGGTCGTGGTTACTTATGCCCCCACCGAAGATGAACATCCGTGGAGGGATGCAGGCAAAGCCGATGAGTCAGATGCCTTCTATGACCTCCTGTCACAGGTGCTGGCTAAAGTGGCCCCTCGGGATAGAGTCATCATGTTGGGTGACTTTAATGCCCGAGTTGGTCATGATACTGGCACCTGGTCTGGAGTGATTGGAGGGCATGGGCCAGATCAGCTCAATAACAACGGTAGGAGGCTGCTAGATTTTTGTGCAGCCCATGGGCTTGTAATTACCAACACGCTGTTCCGGCATCGGCGCATCCACACAACATCATGGATGCATGCCGCGTCCAAGCAAGAACATCTGCTGGACTACATAGTGACGGACCAGCGAATGCGAGCCCATGTCCTTGACACCAGGACCTACCGTGGAGCTGATCTGCCCTCTGACCATCGACTAGTCATCTGTAAGATGCGCCTGCCATTCTTCCACTCCGGTGGTGGGTGTACACCCAGGACCCCATTCCAACCTAAAGTGGCCTGGTCTCAGTTATCTGATGAAAGTTGCAAGCGAGAATTTCATCATCGCTTGCGGCTGGGATTGGCATCGTCCCCGACTCCTCCTGATGTCGAGGGTAAATGGGCGAGGTTTAGGACTGTGACTCATGCAGCTGCAATGGCTGCTTTGGGTACGCGGTCCAGACCTCCCCAGACACCCTGGATGACAGAGGAGTTGTTCAGGATGGTTGAGAAAAAGCGACAGGCCCACTGTCATCGCCTACAGAATCCCACGTCAGAGAATGAGGAGGCTTACCGCAGCCTTCGCTCGGAGGTTCGGAGAGCCGTGAGGCGCTGCAAGGATGGGTGGTGGTCGCGGGTTGCTGAGGAGATGGAGTCTGCCTCAGTGGCCCGTGATCACAAATCTCTATTTAACTCCATCAAAAAAGTAACCTGCAGCGCCACACCTATTACCATCATTAGGGGAAAAAACGGTGATCCAATTTCCGACCCCCAGGAACAGGTTCGCAGATTTGCTGAGCATTTCTGTGAGGTCCTGGGGGAGGGAAAATCCCTCAGTCAGGAAGACATCGTGGCACAAAGTGAGGATGACCCTGCTGAGGCTGCGGTGCCTCAAATATTGGATGAAGTCACCCCCTGTGAGTGGCTGGCTGAGGTGCCATCTGCTGAGGAAGTATTGAAGGCGATCCGGAGTCTGAGACCAGGAAAGGCAGCGGGCAGAGATGATCTCCCAAGCGAAATGCTGAGGGAGGGTGGCGTTTGTGCACAGACTGCCCTATATGACATCATAACAACAGTCTGGACCACTGGACGGGTTCCGCAGGATTGGAAGGATGCCCTGGTGGTCCCCCTTTTTAAGAAGGGGGACCGCACAGACTGTAACAACTACAGGGGCATCTCACTCCTCAGTGTGCCGGGAAAGGT